GATATAAATATTTTTCCTTATTAAATTCATAAAAAGACCTGACGTATATCACATAATTTTCTGGTAATTTGTATTCAAATTTAGTAGATAAGAATAATAAATTAATATTTATCCAACCAATTTTAAATATTTACTTCAGTAAAAAATTGTTTATATTTGAATCAAAATTAGGTGAACCGTATAAAACGGGTAAATTAAATAAATATATTATGAAAAATAGATCAGTATTTTCTACCCATAGTTTGACTTCCCTAAAATTCCACTAGCTTCAGCTATTTTATTTTCAATTTAAATGGATCTATAAAAAAAAACCAAGTAGATAACTGCTCTGTTATACAAAAAATGTCGAAAGAAACTTGTCATTTGTAGGCACTGCACAAAATAAGTTAAAATTTGAATTTGATGATATTATGATACATCAATGTATACGATGAAAAACTATGTAGAGCTAGACCGTCTAACATTTTTGAAACTAAGGTTACTAAACAATTATTTTAATAATACTTATTTTTAATTTTTAACTAATGTTTGTAATATTTTTTAGTTTTTTTTTAATTACTAATTTAAAAAGTAATTACTGAGTATTTTTAATTTTTACCTCCCAAAAGTATCTACTAGATTCGGTTTTCTACCAGAAATCTTCCTAAAAGTTGATGATCAGAGTATTTTTCTTCTAGAAAAAGTATTTTCATATGTAAATAAGACACCCGCAATTCTGTAAAATCATAAATTATATATTTATGTGAATTGCAATACATTATTTGTCTTGTTCAGAATCTAAAAATTTGAATCACATTATTACTTTAGTGTCGAGTTTTAATGAGAGCGTAGTTCAACAATTTTTCACTAAAAAAATCCATATAGTAGGTAAACCATTAAATACGTTTCGTATCTAAAATACGAGTACATACTGAAAAACATATAGAAGCATTAGGGCTCAAAATCGGTTGCACGACCAAGCTGACTTGATAAGCTTATTTAAGTGTACTTAATGGAATTATAGTACACTACAACTACTTAAACATATTGTGTATAAAATAAATGGACTTGAAGTGTATTTACAAGGTTTATGGTTTTATTATTCAAATGTCTGAGGATTATATTATTATTATATAATAATTATCGGAACGAATGCAGTTTAATTCCCATTCGATTTTTTTTATAGAAGTTGCTTATGATTTTAACAAAGAATAAAAAAAAGTCAAAAAATTAACTTTGAGTTACATTGATATGCAAATGTTTGAAAATAGCTCTATAATTCAAATGTACATGGCTTATAAACAATAATATAAAAAGTAAGTACCTACGATAGAAAAATATTCTGATTCCACAAAAGAGTTAAACATTTAAATACTAACATTTCAAAAAAATAATATTCCAAAAATTTCAAATTCTAGTATTTTACACTCAAAAACACGATTTTAAGAAAAATTGAAAATTTTGAAGTTCATCGACCATGACTTCCAAATTAAGTTTGAACGACTTTTTTGAAAGTGCCATCAAATGAAGCAAGTTATAACACTTATTTTAAAAAAAAAATTTCAAATAAATTGATTGGGAGCTAAACTGCTAAACACACTCTAGTGCAGTGTTTCCCAAAAAGTGTGCCATGGTAAACTAGTATGCCGTGACATTTAAAGGTGTGCTTGGAAACTTGAAATTTTTAATTTTCAAAAATGAAATTTTGTAAAAAAAATGTATATATCAAAACTAATCATAACGAACAGCGGTGAAAAACTACTGCTTGGGAACAGTTCTTGTGGTTCAATTAAAAAAAAAAATATAAAGATTTTTGATTTGATAAATAATTCTTCATTAGATTGGTTGGAGCAATAATAATACTATATAAATAGCAAATGGCTATATATATTTAGCAATAATACTATGTTCAATATTTAATATATATATATTTTTTAATATATTTAATAAAAAAATTTGAATATTAAAAGTGTTTTTTTCTCGTCAAGAATTTGCTAAAATTGAAAAAGTGCTCTGACAGTTATAAAATAATCTTGTTTATGGATTCAAACATTTTCACATTTTTTAAATAGGACCTTTGTTAGTATTTACATTGTAATCAGGCTTATAGCTCCATAAATTGATTTTGAATATTTTGATCTAATGACTAAATAACATTTGTGTGCGAGTGTGTAATATGTATAAAAATTGGAGTATACACTTATTAATAATCATTTACTACACAATAAGACTAGCAGTGACTTTAAGGAACGAAATAATTTCTAATATTATACTAAAGAGTTAGGTATTATAATATATATGGTATATATTCTTGGTTTTCAAAATAATTTGTTTTCACGCCTATAACTCTGGTCATTATTATCATTTCACAAGTTTGAATCGATTATTATTGAATTGCATATAAAACGAATGCCTTACCGATTTGTACCAAGGATCATCCATCATATAGTATTATGATATCAATATAGCAAGTGTGGTGATCTTCGAATGCGGTGACAGCTGAGACGGAAAATCGGGTAGATCCGATTGAAACTTTACCTCTGACGTATATTAAATGGTAGGTGTATTAATATATGTTTTTAAAATATCGAAAAAAAACTAGAAATTGTACTCAATGTTTTCCGTAACTCCGCAAGCACACTAAAACACTTAACCAAACGTCAAAATAATATTAATAAATAAATACTACGACGATATCACATGTGGATAATACGAGGTTTCAATACGACCATAACGATCATTATAACAATGATGCACGAACTTTCACGGTGTAAATAAATAAATATTATTTTTGGTGCAGTGAACGGACGCGTGGCGTGCTGCCGACGAAATACGAGCGATGTCTGCCCGCGTTCTTTTACCTGACAGTAGTAGGTACTATGCACGGTGGTTTAAGATATATCTTTAACCGTAGTACAACGGTACTCCTTAAGCAGCACACCGCAAACGAGGGAAAATAATACTACACAATAATAATAATAACCACGGTCTAGGTAACTGTTCTATGGTAATGACATGGAAGAAGTTATCGACGCCGCGGGATTCTGCGAAAAACGTTCGGTAATTTTCGTATTGTTAAAATTTCGCTGCCGTCACCTATGGCCTGGATAGATTTTTTTTTTTCATTTTATAATATATACAGTACCATATTTAGTTATATATGATACACATATTTGTGCAGACGTGTAGTTTAGTTCATGGATACGTCGTGTCAGATCTGATGGATTAGAAAAATGGCGGTTATGTGCTCAATGCTCAATGCTCATACCCTTCGCTGTTCATATAATAGTATGTGTCTATAAAGAAGTCGCCGTAATGGACGTGTTAAATTTAAATTCAATTATATAAAATCATTGTATACGAAAAACGATTCTGAGCGAAGACGGTCTGTCAGTCTTAGTAGGTATTACTAATTATATTTCATGATATTATAATATTGCGATCAAAATAATTTGCTTATACTGTTATGTATTAGTGCTAGTAGGTTGACTTAATTTTTCAGAAAAAATTGAATTATGAAATATTAATATACTTAAAAAGTTTCAAGTATTTACGAATAATATATTTTATAGTAATCGGTAATATCCACCTTTGGATCTCTGCCAGTTTCGATGACGACGCTCGACGCGCCCGATACAACTTTTACCTCTGTAGGAATTGTATACCTATAAATTAGCAATTGACCACAATGATTAATCGAATTTAATGTCAGCTACTCAGCTCTTGTGTATATGTGTGTGTGTACTATGTACGCCACAATCCATGTGCCAAAATAATATATACATTATATATGTATACACAATCATAATATAATATATTCATATTGTTGTTGTGATGTATTATATAACATATGAAACATTGAAACCAACATTTAAATATGTATTATACCTTTGTATTATAATATGCAGTGTGTATGTTTTTCTTTTTTGGGAACATAATCAAAATCATAGTAAATGCAGGCAGGTTCTTAAAGACAATAAGGTTTGTTCCATTTGTCTATTAGCCATTTTAGGTGATATCATATTATGGTCGAAGAAAGAAAATCACGATCCTATGCTTAACACATTTACCACAAACTCGGTATCCCTTTGTATAGCAAATGTATTTCAGTAGATTTAACATATTATTTTTATTTAATGCAAAACTTTTTATGTAGAAAGATAAATTAGTTTTATTATATAACTCATCCAAATTCTATGTTGAAATAATACCTGCATAACGTCTCCATTCTTATTTCAAAAACATATATCTCTACCTTAGATCATATACACTGGATAGAGCTAAGGTTTAAAATCTTGAAGCATAGCTGTTCGTGCCCGAAGTCATCACTGCGCATGAGCACAGTATATGCTCTAAGCATTCAGTACCTAATCGTCCTTATCACTATAACACATTATTGTCCCACGTGATCTATTTCATTTCTCACGCATGCGCAATAAGTACTTCGGGCATGAACAGGTCTGCTTCAAACACGGACTACGCATGATATAGAGATCTAAGATCTAAGATCTCTACGCACGAAAACAAAAATTAATCCAACACGACTTTTCCCAATGTATTTTTTGAAAAAAATTACTGTCGAAATCGAATCATTCTTGTAAAAGTTATGAGTATAATAATTAGAATCGAATAAAGTATTTACGATCTAATGCTTGCCATATTATTATACTGCTAATGTAACAATCATTATTTCGTACTTTAATCTCGAAAATTGTTAGTTGTTATATATATGGTCTCTAAATCGAAAACATAATACCATTTGTGTGCATCTCTCAAGGTTAAACTGTGTTAAAATCTACCATAATATTTACAAAGTTTTTAAGTTTAACAAATATAATACCTATGTAATATAAGAACTACCTAAATCGTGTATTTTGTTGTGGTTGTGACCACTAAACTATTCGCGATTATTTCTATCTATTTTAAATGTAAAAAAGATTTTACTGTTAGATTATTAATTAATATGCATATATTTTATATGCTAATATTTAAACCAGTAATGAAAATAAAACATAAAATCTATAAAAAATTTATAATTTACACATTCCAATCGCATTTAATATAAGACCTCAAATTAATTTTAACACTTTATTATTTTATTAACAAATTACAAGAATTCCTAGATTCAAGGTTTTCATATAAAATATTAATCCAACACGTTTAGATCGTTAAGTTTTTCAACCACATCATCGGAGATAATTAATACGACCTAGTAAATTAATTTAAATATTTGTGTTATTTTGTTGTGAACATGCAGTTTCCGTTGTTTTTCATCATTGTTTCGCTCAAAAATATTCATTGTTCATTGGTTGACCTTCTTTTCCATGTTATATAATATAGACATACATTTTTCGTTCAAAATATTGGCACAGCAAAATCAATTCCTAGGAATGGCTAAAACCAAAATCGTAGTTTTCGATTAATAAATGAACTAATTATGATAATCAATAATAGGTACTGTTATAAAATGATTTTTAAAGTGATTACCTTCAGGATAAAATTGATCAAAGAGGTTTCTTGAGAACACTTCGACGGCAATCCCGGCCAATGACCAATATTGTCGAGGAAGTGGTGGTTAGAAATGAATAATAAAAAAATCATCATACTGTAATAAGGTTTTGATTATTGTTGCTATTAAACATGCCGACGCATATAAGTACTCTACGAATGACTAGGCACATTTAAACGTCATTTGATTTTCGTTTGATGTGAATAAGTGTAATAGTTGTTTAGCTTGGAGTAAGGCATCGCATTAAATTGGCAAGGTTGATAGATGCCCTAGGCGAGAATAAATTATGTACACAAATAATACATGCTATGTGCCGAGGCGCAGTTTACAGTAGAGAATCCACTAAGAGGAATTTTCTAACGACTAGTTCATACACGCGAAAAAATAAAATATATTGTTTGACCCGATTAATATACCTGTGCAACAACAATAATAAATTGTTGGGGCCTGGTGTGGGGTGGTGGTTGGCCACAGTTGCTTATGTGTGCTGCGGTCAAACATCGCACGGCGCCTCTAGCTTCCGGATGGGTGACCACCCACCACCCAGGTTTTTTGCGACGAATCCTCGCCTCACATACACCTGCGTGTTACTCAATCCTAACCATAACTCCCCACAACATGCTAATGGCCATAGTTGCCGATGATTTAGAGTCCAGTGGTTCTCAACAAGTGTGTCGCAACAACAAAAATGTTTATTTATATTGTTTGTGTTCAAAGTATAAAATATTATTTATGACTTTATTATGGCATTATGACGTGATGGTAAAAACCACAGATAAGAAGAACAATTATTTTGAAGATATTAGATACTCTCATATTTCATTATCAATTTACTTATAGTTATGTATATTTTTTAATTGTTACTACTTCAAAAACCGATTAATTTTTTTAAGTGTGTCATCATTTTTATGAATCTAAATTAGGGTTCCATCTTAAAAATAAGCTGAAAAGCACTGCTTTAGATCACTGAAAAAAAATTAATTAATTAATTGTGATATTGTAATGTATGCTTGACGATAATATTATTCTATTTTAATATAATATCTGCACTCTGCAGCAATAGTATACCTACACCTATAATAAATACATACCTAACCTACCATTAACCTTGCGATAATAACTGATAATTTTGAGTGGAAAATCTGCGAACATTTTTAACCTTGACATCCGCCGAGTGACGAACTCTAAGCTTAACAGATGCACCCATAAATTCTTCGATTCAAATAGTGAATAGACAAGAGAGTTTGAGTCGTGATGAATTCTAGATTGCTTTTAACGCATAGGAGTAGAGAATATGTTTCCGTGACACCTTTTTTTTTTATACACTTAGTTCATTTGTTTGGATTGAGTTTCTACTATCTATTAATATATATTTGTATTAAAAAAAATATATAATTAAAAATATGACATTTTAAATTAATGAGTACAATGAATTTATACAATGGCGTGGCGTGGGTTGTGAGTGAGTGTAAGGAGTGGTAAATATTAACTTATCCCTCTCCCCCCACTATGACTTTTATACTTTCTAAAATATAATAATAATAGATTAAAGGCATATTAAAATATTTTACACTTTAAAAAAGTAACGGTATTTGATACTGATTATGAATCTGAGCACATCTCACTGTTCAGCTTATATGTTTCGACCCAAATATCACTCTAAAGTGTTACCGAGGGATGAATAATTCTATAATTTTGTAACATACTTTGTAATGATCATTATAATTTACAAGTCTCAATATTACTTCTCAAAGATCGTCTCTAAAATAATATCATGATTATCATAATATATTTTTAATTTCATCCTCGTAAACTATGTAAATAAGGTTTTATAATATTATACTAATTACTAACCACTGTGATTGGATTAGATGAAAATGTGTACAAATAAATCATCTAACCTGGCTAACCTAAAGGCCAGTTTTGTAATAAAAATAAAATGAAAAAGTTTTCAAGCATCAATTATTGGATAAACCTTTTTTTATTAAAACTAGCTAGGTATACATAATAATATAATTTTGGAAGTAGAGGTATCCTATATTGGTCCGCTCCAGTATCTCCTTGTTGATCGCGGCATATCATTGTAAGCCGCGGCATCTCTTTGTTGACCGTGGTATCTTCTCGTTGGCCACGGCATCATTTGTTACATTGGATCATTGAAAAAATAATAAGCTAAATCATTATATTATGTATATACTATATAATTAATTATAACTAGTGCTCGGATTTTAAAGCATAATAAATAACAAAAAAAAAAGCACAACATTTTTCACATACTACTAATTAGTATTATGTATATTTAATAACAACATAATACACAGTTAGTACATTTAAAAAAAATAATAATAATAATTTTGACTTATTGTCCTGTAGTTACAGATAAAAATGTTAGATTCTGAATCGATACTCAGACATGTCACAATCCATGATGGTGAATGGTATTTTTGTGATACAAGAGGAATATTCAAAATTTTAATGGCCTAATTCAGATGATTTAACGTGGATAAAGTTTGAGTATGAAAACCATCATTCATATTTATTAGGTAAATATAACATAGTATCAGTATATCAAATATATCCTAAAAAAACGTTTACAAAAGATTTATTAAGGAATTTTCTAAGCATAAAATAATTTTCTGATAGAATTCTATTTAGTTATTCAAGCAAACACAAATAATACTAGATAATCTATAAATATTGATATTTTATTATTTATTAATATAATATTTACATCATTATATCACAAATATTATTATCATTCCATACAAAAACCAAATAAAGTTTATATGTGTAATCATACTGGTATACTGTAAAATGTATATTTCTATTGTATAAAAAGCAATATCTATGTTATAATATAAGTTATTATAATATTATTACAGCACTATATAGATATTTGTAGTAGATATTTAGTAGATATTTGTTAATATTGTAATAATAACATTCATTAAATGTCAAATAATTTATGCATATATTATAACATGCAGTAACAACGACCCAGGGGCCAATTTAATATTAAATACATTCATTACTGTACTTAAACTATGTATGAGTACAAATTAATGGATACCGATGTCTAATAATCATAATTATTATTAAGTAAAAATGTAATAGAAATATTAAATTATAGCTATGAAATCTTTTTCTTATTAAATAATAAATACATAATAGTATGCAAGGATAAAATTAATTAAAATTATATTTTACTTATAACTACTTAGTTAGGTTAGATATAGATGAGATATAGAATATTTTATTGTATATTTAAAAATGTCAAGTGAAATATTAGGAAAATCCTAAGTTCAATAACATTGATATAATATTATTTTTATATCAACTGGTTCAGAGTTAAATATTACTTTATTAGCTGAACCACTTGATATTATTTTTATATCAACTGCTATTAAACAATTGCTATGTTAAAAAAAATCATTTATTATTAGTTCATAGAAGTATAATCAAAGTAATGAAAAAAAAGACTCAGTCATACTATATTAGTTAATTATAACTAGACTAGCGAGCAGTTAAAAATTAAAAAATAATAATCTTATATAATGTATAAATATTATTAAAAAATACTATCTGTTACACACACTGATGATGTACCTCAATTGCCTATCAAATGCGCCGTGTTAACTGTTAACATAATTTTATTATTGAAAATAGTGTAAAGAAAATATCGTTACAAATATTTAAAGGCACAAGGCAAAGTATAAAACCTTTTTTTATTTTTTAGACGTTGGTAATGTTAGCGTTAGTTTAGAGTAAATATAAAAATAAGAAGACGATGAGACAATATGACAAACTGTCTGATTTTTCAATTTGTATTAGAAATTCATTCAAAATTCAATTTTAATTATAATAACACTACAATAATAAGTTAAATAAACAGTAATTTGAAACACAATAATAATTAATTATCTCATCTAGTATTTTATTGTAATTTATATTATTATCATCGTCTTACACAACCTCATATCACTAAAGATTAAAGAAAGTAATAATAACCCTGAGTCCCTGAATATCTGATTTAGGAAGACACAAGTGATTTCCTAGTCTTACATACAAGTAACATAGAAAATATAAGTACGTACTATATCCTAACTAAAATGTATTTATAGTCGGCATTAGAGCAAATTTACGTATTGTCAGATTTGTAAAAAAAAATATAATCTGGACCGAAAACAAGATTTATGAATCTTAAAATAATATTTATTCGGGTATATTTAACTCATTTTAAAACAAAAATATGAACTATACTATTCTCCGGTACCGAATTCCTATACCTATGTTGTGTGTGTAGTGTTTGAACTGTCTGAAGTCTAAAAACAAGCTTGACTAAATGGTGAAATATTTTATATTTCACAAAAACGTGAAACATTGAGGGTATTAATGCATTGAATATTGCGGTCGACATATTAGTGATACTTTAATATTTCAGTTTTGTTTTCGACTATTTACAGCGAAAGCTTATTTTTTTCCTCAGAAATCGGCTCATCTTCGATGACGATGAAATAATGAGACTATTAATGTAACTAAATATAAGCTAATATAATATTATATACTTAATTATTATTACAAGTCTGTTTGTAACACTGTAGGCCGTCGACATTTTCTTAATTTTAATTTTATACATGGTTTGTCTTCATTTATTATAAAATTATATCTTTTATGGTGTATTAGTATGTAGTGTAAACGAATTTAATATTTATTCAAATATAATATCATGATCCAATAATTCTTATACAAGCGTTTATCGAATACAGAATTTGAGCAACTTGGGTAAACATAACGACAAAATTCACAGTGTTCCGAGAATTTAATGAGAAAAAAAACATAATACCATTATTACATGAAAAAATAATAAGTAATGACAAATGGATGAAAAAATAAATAAAACAAATTTTATTGAAATATTTTACGAGTTTGAAATGTTTTATGAAAAATTTCAAAATTGTATATTTTATGAAATGTTTAAACCCCATGTATGTATGTATGACGGTAACCTAACACATGACAGTTGTATTGTTTTATAGTTGAAAAATAATTAAGCAAAATTAGCTACGTAAGGGTTGTAAGTTGAGGGGAAGATGGAGGAAAGAAAATAACTTATTAATTTTTTTGAATTTAACACTATGTAGTTCTGTATTCCCTCCAAGATTTTAGGGCTTGTTGCGCCACTGGTGTCGATTATCGGCTGGGTATAGAAACTCCCAGGCGTTGTCACTCTACACCGTGTACTGGATCGTTGTAGTTTCATCCACCAGATTTGAAAACGCTGCAGTCACCTAACCCACCACCCTCAATACCATCATCAGTATTATATCAGTTATCACTTATCATACAATAGCTCTGCACATAATATAAGTTATAACTACAAAATTGCATTCTGTGATTAGTACCTATACATGTCATTGTAAGACCGTGTCCAGTGGGTAATTATACGCATTTTAAGTACTGTTTAATATAAGACTTTCATTCAAAATGTAAACAGAATCAATGGACCTAATGAAAATCGAACACACCAATTTAAGCACAAACACTTAGCATTTAGATATGCAGCAAACAGGTCCAACTTTAATTGACGAACCAATTATGGATGTTCCCATACCCTGTAGAGTGATCGGTACTATTAATATGGTAAGTAGAAAAACACATTTATAGTATTATATTAAGTGAATATCAGTGTACTTATTTGTTTTTTTTATTCCTGTACATAGTCAACATAGAACATTTATGTTAAACAGAAAACATATCTTGTAAACACACATCATTGTAAAATCAATACATTCATCCCTCCGCTCAGAATCTATGAAATGGTCCAACCTATTATCAAACTAAAATGTAATTACATTATCCGTGTTTGTACATTGGATTTTATACGGTGTATCCGTTTCCTTACAATATAATAAAAGCACTTTCAAGTTGTATTATTTTATGTACTCAAAAATTGGATTTACAAATGTAAGTACCCTAAAAAACCAATATGCAAACATAGATAACCCTAAATTTAGGTTTTTTTAAAGCTAAAACACAATATTGGTTCCTTTGAGTGTTAGAAAGACCCAAATTGTCTTTGTTCCCGAGTGTTAGAAAGAGAAAGAGAAAGAAAGAGATACAGAGAACAAATTAGTGCGCCTGACAACCTCTGAACAACAAATCAATATTAGAACAAAATAATACCTAATTCACTGACGTCGTCAAACAATATTCGTAATTGAACCGTAATTCGGCTTTTCCATGAATTATTTAAAATTAGTATAAAATATAGTTTGTTATTAATATTTAATAACAACAATCGATTAATAATATTCAACCATAAATTCAAAACAAATTGTTTTTAGCATTTGTAAAATATTAAATTCTTATCTTAGTGGAGAATGTATTAATTTTATAATGTTGTGCTTTTTTGTGTTTTTGTTTAAAGACGTGTTATGTTTTAGAACATTTCAAATGCTTTCAAAGTCTTTTCTGGAATATTTTAGATATTTTTTTCATATTTTCTATTTTCTATTAATGGTATGATTTTCAAAAACTTTTTGAGCTACTGGGCATGCTAAATTTTTGATTTTTATTAAATAATTGTCCATAAAAGTGTCTTTGTTTTGTCAAAAACCCTGAGAATGTAATTCAGGGTACTCCGTAATTTGTTATTATTGCTATTAAAGATACATAGGCACAAAACTCGTCAAATTCATGAAATATTTTCGGGAAAAATTAATTCAACTTACCATATTACTACCGAATTATTTGTAAAATAAATAGCTTTAATAGAAATATAAATAAATCATAAAATATACTCTGTAATAAATAATTATATAGACTGACAGACCATATTCGCTCAGAATCATCATTTTTTGTACCTATGCAATGATTTGTCATTGAATTCAAATTTAACTCATACGCATACAGTGACTTACTCAATATAACAATGTGCATTCTATACCAGCTACAAATCTCCTGAAGTTCCTCTATGTTTACCACGTCCATAAAAAAAATTTTACTTTAGTCATCAGAATTTTAGTTATAGGTGTATAATTTCATATTTAACGAGGTTTTTATTGTACTCAATAATCATAATGGCTTTCTTTAATACTTAGCTTAATAATTACTACAAATGAAAAAAAATTATATCGGCTTACATTTCCAAAAATTATTTGGTGGCAGACGATATTATCTACACTGTAAATTCTACAGCCATAGTGATCGTATGAAAATGAGATAAGAAACCATAATCCTATTTATATTATTAAAAGACATTGTAACAACAAAAACGTTACGGTATTAAATATGAAGAATATATATTATATTTACTTTTTTTTTTATTTTTACTTAACTATAAAATATTATAGTTCTTTCTCGGGCCAGATATTGAATGATGGCGCGCTGGAGTTGGCCCGAGGGCCGTAGTTTGACCACCACTGCTCTATGTGTATCGTTTCTAGTTTATACACTTGATTTTTCAAATTTTTCAATTTTTCAATATGTTTATTTGTTTTTTTTATATTGTCATTTTAATAACGTGTTATAATAATTTTTTTCAGCTGTTTTGTTCTTTTTCAATTGTTTCATTATTAATGTATACGTTAATAATTTTATATAATTGCCGTGTTTGCGAACACAATGGTATGTATTACATATTTATTTTACATATTAGTTTTAATAAAAACAAAAAATATTTTTCTAGCTTAACAGTGTTTGCAGGTTATAACTTATGACGTATGAGTGTATTATAGGCGTAGGAGATCATAACAATCGAAATATTTCAACTTAACATCCCTAGTTATAAGTGTAATATCTTCCCGTGCCGGTTTAGAAAATTAGATCTAGTAGATACTTTTAGAAAGTCGAAATTGGAAATTCTCAGATCTTTTAAATATAATTGTGAAAATTGTCACCTTTTGACAATAACAATTTAGGTCTGAAAGTTACAACCATTTTCAATTGTATCCAATGATTTATCATTGAATTAAAATTACCACAGATCCATTACTACATTGTAGTCTTAATTATAAACGAAGTACACTCGACTCCTAAGCAGTGTAAAGTAGAGCGGTTACCCACTTAAGAACTTAATTTTTTTAATTAAATAAAATACAAATATTTAAGAAATTAATAATTTTCTTAGCAGTTGTATTATATCATTTTACTTAATAATAGAAACCCTTTTTGTGTTTTGTAAGAACAAAAAAATTCTACGAGAATGTTATATTTTTTATTTGTATATTCTGTTAACTGTGATTTCTTGATTATGACTTACGATTTATAAATAAGCAAATCAAATTTTTACATAGCTTTATAATATCACAAATCAATCAAAATACTAATTATTGACTCGATTGACTTAATTACTTAGAATTTACTCAAAACCATTTTAACAATTTATAATTGTTTTATTTTTCTCGACAAAAAATGTAATTATATTTTTAATGATCTTAAAGATCATACATTGAAAATTGTATTTATAAACTGCATATTTTATAAAGTGTTTTAATCGTTTTTCTTTAAAGCTATAAATTATTGTATAGCAAACTTGTTAAATATTTATAATAATATTATGTGTGTTTTTTTATATATTTATAGATATGTCATGCCGAAATATGTGTGAAATTGACACTAAACATAAGATAGGTTCATCGATACTTTTAATTTTTTGGATGTATATGTTCCTAATCATTGCGTTTTTTATAAAAATTATTGTTGTCAACAATGGCTTAAGATCTTTTGACTTAGTAAGTAAAAACATTTTTAGTAAATACATTTTTAAATATTGAAAAAATGCTGAGACTTTTTTATTAGGTAGGTACAGTTAAATGAACGTATAGTAAATCCAAAGAATTATTGCACATTCGCACATGTCAAAAATGTTTTAAATAACCATTTTGATTTAATAACAATGATAATAATAATGTATTTACTTGTTAATATTATTTATTGTAAATTCTAGGTTAGGTTAGGTTATTACATTATAATGTATATATAATATATATATATATTTAATGACATGAAAAAATAATATTAAAATATTACCGCTAACAATTTATAAACCAGGATATTTAAAATTTATAATATGAGTATTTAGGACGGATGGATCAATTCGGCCATATAAACCAATTGGCAATTTTATTTCATCGTGTAAAGGTCAAGGATGTTATATAAATAGTTAGTAGCACATAAAATTAATAGAATTTAGTATTTATTAAGTATTTAGGTACATCCTGTACATTCCCATCTATGAGTTTAGATAGGAACACTAAGTTAGCCTGGAACCTTTTACTACCTATTCAATTTATCTAAATTGAAATTTTCGGATTTTGCAGATATCGTTGTGGATAAAGTTTACATTTAAAAAATCTTTTAAACATTTTCATTACATACAAATAATATAAAGGCCACAATACAAAACTGCTTAGTGAAATAAAAAAATAGAATTTGTCATCTACTAGTTACTACTTGGTAATTATTTAGATTCTAAAAACATTCTGAAAGACGAGAATATATTTACGTACCTAACAAGTTTTTACGAACAACTTAATAGTGTTTTATTTTGCAACTCAAAAAAATAATAACCGTAGATATTTGAGATTTCGATAAAACATATAATATATTATAGCATTTTTTAGACATGATATATTTTAAAATTACTTAGACAGCTAATAAAGATATATCAATTTAATCTCCATTTTATTTATTGGTTCGATTTTATTGAGGACATTTTTGTTTCTCAGTAAAAATTCTTGAAAATGTATACATGAGATGCTTATTACTAAGGTTTATAATTACACGTTGATAAGATTTTATTTATGTCTTATATAAGAATAAATTAACAAAATTAGATTAATGAAATAATCCTAAAATATTGTTTTTTTTTTTTTGTAGCCCACAGGTGGAAAAAAAATGGAGTTATGGGTGCATTATCATAAGATTTTCCTTATAATTTGTCTTTTATCCATAACATTTCTAGGTATGAAAAATATGATTGGATATAATTTTTACCTTTTTTACTATGGAATCACAACAATAGGTATGTATTTTAAGTACATATAATTGATATAAATACAAATTTATGTGAAATAAAAATATTACATTTGTTTGTAGCTTTAATAGTAGAGTTGATCGTTATTGGGAAGTTCAACAAAGAGTATATGATTTCAACTGATCGCTATAGTAGTGATGTTTGGTATTTAAACATCTAAAATATCGAAGAATCGGCAACAACAATCGATGTTACGTAAATAAAATTATGTTAATTAGCTTTTTAAATTTTTAGTTTTATAATGTACCAAAAACAAAATACTTAATGGTACACGTAAATTATTTATTATTATGTATGATATTTATAATTTATTATAAATTGAATATAATTAACCAAAAATGTGTGCATTTACGGGATGTGAGATTTAATTTAAAAATTATCATTATAATTGATTATATCATAGATGAGGTACGTCGAATATAGACCATTTTTTTTTTTTGCTCAATTATAAAAATAATGTAAATCAAATGCCATTTGTTATTTAAAATTGTGAATTATTTTCATGCACCATTTAAGTGTTACCTAGTTTTTTTTAAATGGTTGGACTTTGAAAGTAAAATTTGTCAACATTTTTTCTTTAAGATACAAAAAAGCTAATTTATTGGATGTTCCAAATAGAGTTTTTGCCAGATATTCGGCATCCCCTGTAGCACAAAATGCATAACACTTCTCTCCACATCATCCATCTATACATACATCTACTTCTGACGCCACACCTTTTTGTATCACCGAACATAATTACTTATAAGACTGCATTTATTACATTTTACAAGTTATTCCCAGGGGTTAAAGTGGGGGGGACACAATAGGACTCAGTCCCCCTACCTCTGACGGCGGTTAAAAGGTGTCCCCTTTAACAAATTAGGATTTTATACATTAGACATTATATATAAAATTATATAATATACAACGCTTAGAACTATATGGAGACATTAGTCCCCTCTGGAATTTTTTCCCACTTTAAACCCTGGTTATTTCCCAAAGTAAGAATACGCTATATTAAAACATTGTAAAAAAAAAAAAATAACAATTTTACATATCTTTAAAAGTTTATGTTGTTAAGATAACTGCATAAGAGTCGTTTAAAATAATAATCTAAAGACTAAATTTTGATTTGATTCTTTAGAATTTGGATGCCTACTAAGACTTTACTGTAGGTACTTCACGAAATAACTTTATATTCCTTATAAATAATCTTTCATATTAAGTGCATGTAATTCCACGATCGACGCATCTCCTTCAATATTATAATAAGTGTGAAGTTTACTGCATCTGTTAAAATATATTTTATTTTGTAAATCAATTCTCTACAAATATTTTTTTTAATTTAATCGTTGTAAAAAAAAAGAAAAATGTTGTAATCTGATACTGCGGAAAGTTCTCAGTGGCCCACGTAATTATGATAGCAGTAATATTACTATCATATTTTATAATGGCAAAAAAAATTTAAATACCATTCAATATCATTCATTTAATATGATTATTATAATAATTATTATTACCATACTATATTTAAGATAACTTTTTTTGTTATGACAGATTATCTTAAAAATTATAAGTTTATCATAATGTTCATTGATGATTTAATTTTTTCTTAAATCGTGTTAATCGAAAACTATTTATTCATACTTAATAATATAAAAAGTAATAATACTTAACTAACTTCCTCACACCCTATAAGAATTAGCTAAGGACGTTTTATATTTTTATTATATTATAAAACTACATATATATGTGTGTATAATTGTATATCCTTATAGAATTAAATAGTATTTAATTATACTTATATTAAAAACAAATGTTGGATAGTCATAAACAGATTTTAAAAATCTATATAATTTAATAGGTATCTAGACGATTATTGTAGAATTTAGATTAATTATATTTACGAATCTAAAACGATTGTAGTGTGCTTCTATGTACCTAGGTAGATATGTATGTTTCTTTTATAAGCTATAAACATATATTCATGTATACCTTGTTATAGTGTTTTGAAAGTAATGTATTATGTATATTTAGTATATATATATATATATTATATATAGAATAGTATATATTTATTAGTATTGTATGTATTTTATTTAAATATACTATAAAAATATAGATGATGCATATTGAGACTTAGTATTCTTATTTCATAGTAAGAGTATTGAATAATATTACTACATTTTCATTAGCTGTTTTCACAGTATTATTATATTTTTTTATGCCAAATAGTGACTGTTTTAATAAAAATATGATTGCCAATATAAATGTTGGACTTATTTTATATAATATTTTTATATTTAGAATATTTAGATGGATCATTCCATACTAAAATTAATAATTTAAAGTGTTTGAAGAGTCTATGTCTGGAAATACCACTTATTTTAGGAAGTAAAAGAAAAATAAACAAGGAATAATTAGAGAGTGCAGTGTATAATCTTCAGATTTCTGAACCTGAAAATCTATTCACAATGAATTTATTAGGTAAGGAATAATATTAATCAATAATCAGATGTCTCTTTAAGGTGGTATTAAAGTTAAAAAATCCTAAGTTATATTAATGAAAATAAATGAAAACAATTTAAGAACATCAAAAAATTAAAATTAATTGTATGGAGTACTGGTTTTATGATTAGTACAATTATATATTTTTAATTATCATATTAGATAATATTTTATAATCCCAGATGAATACAAACCATAGTAAATCTTTTTAATTCGTTGCCACGAGAACAAACAAACCGTGGATTTAAATACTCAAAAAATAGCTGAACACCTGTACGTCCTATGCCGTCGTGGATCTAAAGCGTGTTGAAACTAAATAAGCTCTCTAAAAGTCTAAGCCCTGTGAAGTCAACTGCAGTAGGAGGCTTAGTACTACTGGATAGTTAGATTAGGGCCCCACTTCTCTTTTTAACATTTCTTGTCTAGTAAATTTTCGAAAAATAATGGCTATTCAATCCATTCTAAGTGAAATTAGTAGATTTTATTCAAAAGGTAGTTTATATCCATGCTTCGATACGTGGCTAATGGCAATATTTTTGCATTTTTTTCTATAATTTATTTATCAATTACTGTCATTTATACTATATTCTTTTACGTGATTCAACTTCTTGAAGATTAAATAAAAATTAAATAAATGAAAAATAAGGTATGGTAATTATTATTAAAACGTTAGGTATCTCTGGTACAGTGTGTTCTTGAGACAGAGTCAAATACCAAATAAAGGAATATGAGAGGACATTAGTAGTTAAACCAAGCACAAATACTAATTTAACGTAATACGTTATATTGAAATAAAATGTTGATATAATAATATTATGTATTTTACATCACCGATGACAGGTAAAGTAAGTAAGTAGCAATACACAAAGCGATAACGTCAACAGGTAGACTATAATGTTTCTTATAAGCCTCCATGGGCTCCATGTAATTTCTATCATTATAGCTGAGACAATCCCAGATAAGTATAGTGCCATCTTTTGAACTACTGACGACTTGGAACTCATCAAATTTGAAATCATAAACCGTATCTATGTGCACCTGTAAGATAAAAGTTATTTAATTTCCTCAATGATTCAATAATAAAAAAAAACACTAAGTATTAAGTAGTTTCAGTTCTAGGAAAACAAAAATAAATCATTTTTTTGTGATTTGTACATACTATTAAGGCTGTTGGAAGCGAACCATTTTTAAGGGGTCGGGTTTAGGCAAAATAATGCAGTGAGTGATATATGACTGTGTGTATGACTGATCAATTATAGTGTGTGTGAGTTTCCCGAACGCTTTATGTAATTGACGATAAACTACGGCTAAGATTTTTGGAAATCTGTAACGTAAAGGTACCTACATACTTGCAGTCACAAGACACATTATTTTGCGGTCAAAAAAGTTTCAACACGAAATTCTCAAAAAGCGGAAAAAAAATTAACGCAGTAGGTACCGATAGTCCGATTTTAATTTTTAAAACATATTTGAATTCCTTAATATTTTATTTTCTAGGTTATGAAATGGATTTTCGGATTATTGTGTTGATTTATTAGTTCCTATAGTACCAAATAAATTGTCTTATTTTTTTCAAAATTCACTTTTACTTTAGTATTATTTAAAAAAAATAATAATAAATTCATTTACTGCAAGACACAAACAAGAAGCGAAGGAACTTAAATATTTTTTCAATATTAAAATTAGACTTCCGATTATTGGTCTAAGCTCTAAACGCACAAAAAAAACACTTTCTTTCAAAAGGCTTAAGTTTCTAATAATCACATTGTATTTATACTGGGACAGTGGGACCTATATAGGTCATTAATTTATTTCTAGTCGAATTTTTTATTTGAATTTTATACATTTTGACCACATTTGGACTTTCTTAGAGAGACCTCACATTCGTTAATAACCTAATTATTATGAATAGTTTTTTGTATTTGAGAATTTGGAGATTATAGACTGCAGTTTTCGACTCATAATTAACCTGTCTATTGCATTGTAATATTGTCAAATTTAGAGAATCAATTGACAATAATTACCTATTATCTATTATCATAGAACAAAGCTATTATTTATCTATCATTTATGCATCTTTTCTAACAAATTTGAATATTGTGTTTTTCAGGATGCGTAATGAAAAAAGAACCGAAACCCACCTGAGAATGCTACAAAATATCTTTAATATCCATTACATTTCGGGATAAGTACTGAAGTACCCCCAACCCGGGCTCCTATATTTACCGTTCGCGTTTTGGCAATACTTGTATTGGTTATTATACCTAAGGGATGAACTAGTGCATTAAAAAATAATAAACGACGAATGTAAGTATTTAATGAACAAATAAATAAATAAGTGCATAATTTTATTCTTTTAATTTAAATGTTTTTTTTTTTAAATTTAGGCTTGTGTTTGTGTACAAAAAAATATAAGAAAATAGTTACAATGAATAAAAAAATTGCAATCAGTTCACTACTATTAATGTAATTTTATAACAAAAACTATTTAAAAATAATTCTGTGATTTCCATGAGCAAACTTGTTATAATTATTTCATCAATATCTATTTAATTCTGTTCAATATAAAGTTTTTAATTCTATTCAATTTTAAGCATTCAATGTCAGATACATGAGCTATAGCAGTGTTGTAGCATGGTGGGGGGGGGGCTTTAGGGCTTAATCCCTTCCCCCTGAAAAAAATCCTGGCTATGGTACTGAGGGTTGGTGTCATAATATGTCAAAAATGTTGAAGATTCTGGATGAAGAGCACTCATCCTGCTAATTATATCAGAATTATCACTAAATATTTTATCCAACTCAATAATTGTTATTTTGTCCAAAGTACAATAATACCATATTCTAGATCTATTTTAATTTTCTCACTGTATTTTTAAACTAGATGATAAAAATAGGATAAAATTGTTAAAGAACAATTTTTTTCAATTTATTTAGTTATGGTTTTACATAGGTACCAACCCAATAGATATTGTAAGAAGAACTTATTCATTTTCTAAAGCACTTCATCTCAAGTTCTATAATATATGAATAAACCTTCTTCTTTTATAAAGAATGTATTATTTTGTGGCATTAAGTCAAAGTTGTCAAAACAGTGGGATATTTAAAAGGAAGCTTTTTATTCTTTTGCTTATTACATATTTATTTTTGATTATACATGTTTTCAACAATAAATTCGTTTTAATATTCAATAGGTACAGTTTAATATTTAACACACTTATCAACTTGATAATGTCATTAGGACGTTATCAATAACTATTTTAAAGTGAGGTATTTAATATTTTGTCTCTTCCAAAAATGGTTCACAGCTACGCCACTGGTTGTCAAAAAATCACCATTATTGACATTTACATTTGGATACAATAGCCAAAATGAATGTTGAACTAACTATAGGACTATATTATTTTAAATTTAGATTTTATACTAATAATTTAACTAAATGTATAATAATAATATTTCAATACAATAACTTATTTTTAATATATATTTAATGCATACATAAAATAAAAAAGTAGAAAAAATAATAGTACATAGTATGTAATAAGTAGAATACATTTCAAAGTTAATCTAAAATGAAAAGTTCATATCAGTTATTACTTATTAAGCACAATTTAATATTGGTATACACAAACATAGAAACATGGAATACTGATCAAGTTTCGTTTAAATTGTAATACTTATACTTCGGTTTAATTGAGCTGCAACTAATACTATATAAATCAAAATAATATACAGAATTTTAAAAATATTTATGTAACATACCCAATACATATTATGATATTTAGAAAATTATAACATTTTCAAAGTTGACCAGTTCAATTTTCTTAAAATAATTATTTATAAATAATTTACAAGATCATAAGAATCACTGATTTCAGTTAATAAAACACTTAAATCATATTATCGTATACACACAAATGAGTTAATTATAGTAATTTCTATAAAAAAATTAAGTACAAACTATTTCTAAGTGGAATTCACAACAAAACTACAGAATGATGCTGTGAGTTATGACTTAACAAACTATACCTAATTAATAATGTGTATGTAAAGACTACAATTAAAAATAATAGTCATTAATTGTTATTAATTTAATACTGTACAAATAATTATTGTTATGTATCATATAAACTTAAGAAAAAAACAACAAACAAAAATGGCAGTAGTACAGCTGGATTACCTGTAAAAACTAGGTACAAAACTAAAACTAATTACAACTCAAATAAACATAAGACCTACCAAACATTTTATAATTATAATAACTAACAATAAAGAATTAAACTACAAATACTAGCATGAAATAAAATATGTTAGTGTTAAACTTAAGTTTCAACTATTAATATAAATAAACAAAACCATAAAATTTTTAATTTATTTGACGGTGGGAATATTTTATTAATTAAGCTGCACTAATTGTATCAATCATTCTTCAATTGAGATTAGTTTTAAATTAAACACAAGAATATGCTTTAATTAGTTATACAACAGAAATACATAATGGCTAAGACCTAAGAGTACATAGGAAGTACTTGGATAAAAACACTATTAGTGTCAGTAATAAATAAATATTAAATATACAAATACATTATAACTATTTAGAACCCTTAAAACTAATAAATAAATGTTTAATACTTCAACTAGGAAAAGATACAAAAGGTTAATTATAATTGGAGATTTTTCTAAACACAAGTCTCGTCATTTTCGTCACTATCAGATTTATTAGTTCTGGCAAGAGTATAACCAGATGCCTTATGCGATTTTCTCATGTCTTTTTTTCTTTTGTTGGCATCCGTCCATCTCTCTTTTTTGGGGGTGATTGTTTCATATGTGTGATTCAATGGATTTGCACTAGAACAGTCAGACACTATCACATGAGGACTACTGCAAGTTTCTTTTTCACTTATGTTCCTTCCACAATCGGTGACACTGTCTGAAATACCTTCACAACTAGCACCACTCATTTGGCTGGTTACAAATTCTTCGGTAGAGTAGTCTCTTGGTTGCATATACTTATGTTGGTATTGTGTACGGCCATCTACCTCAACATACTCATGATCAGTAATGGCACTGTCTGAGAATACACCATTTTGTTTTAGTTCCAGCCGTAGATTATTGGTTTTACCATTTTGACAGTAGTAAGCACCATTGTCTGTTAGTTCTGGTGAAGTCAATGGTGGACGTCGAGGTAAATTATTTTGTTTCCTCCTTTGTTTTTTGAAAAATCGCTTGGCTACAGTTATTTGATGTGGATTGTAATAATCAATTTGACGTTCAGCATTTAATTGATGTCGCATCATAACAAGTTGTAATTGAGGTGATCTAAATGATTGCAGTGACACAACTTCACTATTGGACTTTGGCCTCACAGATTGAAAACTATCAGTTCTAATTGATGGAGCGCGGACTGAATCTACAACTTTTTTTCTTCCCCAGCGATGTTCTTTAAGTTCTACAAATGCGTTCTGAACATCATTTCGTACAAATATGTAGAACCACATTATCAAAAAGTTTTGAAATATATTGAAACAAGCAAACCAAACACCCAACCATAGTTGTATGGTTGGACTGTGCATAATTGCAACATTAAAATAAGTCATTGCAACAGACAACAAGTATCCCAATAGGGTTCCATTGAAAAATCTCAGTTGAACAACAGGAGACTGTTCGGGATCTTCTACTTTGCTTGATGGAGTTGTGAGGCTGCGACAACTATTGTGTTCCACCATGCTATTTGTCTGATCCAATAGTTCTAGATCAGTGGCTTGAGTACCTTCTGAAAGCTGTACGTTAGAGTCAAGATCGTTGGCAACACAGGAAACAATTAAACTGAGGAAGAAAATACTGATAACAACCACTAAAGCCACACTAAGAATAAAACCAAAGGCAGGACCCGGTTTTAAGAAGCAATAATCTCCTTCGTGTCCTCCATAACCAGGCAAATTAACAGCACTTGACATTCCACACAATAACATTGGTATGCCCCAGCCAACCATATATATACCCAATAGTGGCTTTTTTACCACAACATCTTCGTGTGGAATGTTCATACCACCGCCATCATCAGATGGAGTGCCAGCTGGGAGGAATGGCTTATGTACACGTTTACACAATACTCTATAAGAAAACAAAAATTAAAACGATAATTATTTAAAGCATGCAAGTACATTAAAACACTAACAGTTAATTCTCATAGGCATTGCTCTGCATAAACATGTATATAATTTTTTTTTAAGTAAATACAAATTGAAGCAGCTTAACTTATCAGGCTTTATTTTATATAATTGAATTACGAGTATTATCAGTTATTAAATATAATAAATTAACTGCCAACTATTGCCACTATGTAGGGTTAATTATGGAAAAAACACTCTTTAGACAGTTGTACCAAAGACAAGGTACTCCAGCTAAGTGTATCATTTACTCGGATGATCATACTTCCAGCTACAAAGGATGTCTAAAATACAAAGCACTTCTCAAATGTTGCAAAACAACTCATTTCAATCGTCAAAATCTGAACACAGTACTCACATTCCTCTTCTCAAATCACTAAATCAGTTTCCCAAAGCTTCTTACGCCTCTATTGCAGATTTTAATAATATCCTATTGCTTAATACTTAATGGCTCCATTAGAGATAAGCCATTTTCCTAATTTATTTCAGAATTTTCCATACTAATAAGTCCCTCTATTTTCTCCCTAAAGCCGTACTAAACAAATAACATACTCCATAATCCACATTTATTTATACCACTTAAGTAACACAATGTGTTTATTCACTGATTACGATAACTGTATACTTCAATAAGTCTTCGATTTATATGAATGTATTCTATATTTCTATAACTACGTTGTATTATTCTTTTGATATTAATGTTAGTATTAGTAATTGTAGAGCTAGAATAGTAATAACTAGAAGCTAATAAAAAAAAACAACTTACTTAATAGTCACTGTCATCCAAAACAATGGAGCTAGACCAAAAAATTGAATCAACAATCCTATTATTTGGCAAGTTCTAGGGTTTTCAGTCCGATGAATACCATTACTAATTTAATTTAAAAAAAAAATATTAGACATTTCAAACATTTACTTTCTATATGTATTTTACTAACCAATAGATTAAATAGAACATTGACATTGCAAACCAAGTATTGGGAAGGGAGTGCTTCAATTTTTTAGCCATTTGTATGTTGCTATTGAGTACCACAAAAAGAGTGACTGAAAATAAAAGAAACGTACTTCCAACAAAAGTCCCAATGTAAATTGATGTATGTGCAAACAATTTTGTTTTTTTTGCAACAGTACTGAAACATTACATTAGATAAATTAACATAAACATTTAACTTTTAAAATACTAGACACTATTTTCGTACATATTAGTTGGTGGAAAAATATTATGCACCAACGTTGGACTCATGGTCAATGCAAAATAACCAAATCTATTACACGTGTACTCCAACATGCCGCCCGTAATGCGTGCTAGCTGACAACTGGTGTTTGGATTAATATCCCATAATCCCGATAAAGGATTCCACCACGATGGGCTAGGTCTCATAGTCAAATAATGATCATAATTTTCAGGTTGACGCAATGTTAAGATAAGTGGTTCTGGTACAATTTCCATTTCAACGCCAACTAATTTTGTTACTAAAATGCAAGATTTTATTTCCGTAGGCAGTAATGTGACATTGTCTTCAGCTGTTATCATTGGTTCAGGAAACATTTTACCATCTTCATACACTATGAATACTAATTTTAATTCGTTACTAAGCAAATCTTTCTTTGAGTCACTCATGAATAATGAACTTGGTACTTTAATTGACGCTTCAATAATCTAAGCAAATTTAAATATGATAACAATTAATTTATATGGTCTAAATTTGTATCCCACAGGATATACAAGACTAATATTTGGAATTCTTTGTTTGAAAAATATGTGATATGAATTTACTTTGTTTTGATAAAGACTATCATTGTTATAAACATGACACATCAATGAATTCATTGTAGTTGGAGAATCTTGATCTCGACCCCAAATACATATTAAACCATTGAAATTTTCTTTTGAAATAATGAATTCTTCCATTGCTATAGCTGATGTCTGAAATCAATAAGTGTATATTCTAATTTCAATTGTTACAATATTTGAAAATCATAATCATTTTCAATTTACCCATCGAGAATTTAATGTTGAAGTAAATTCTAATGAAGTTTCCAAAGCATTCACAAGTCTGGAGGTGGATTTATCATTCTTTTGAGCAGCTAATAGTAATTCTCTAGGTAGTTCAGCCATTAAACTTATCAAATCTACAACGATTGGAGCTAACTAATAAGTATAAAAATTCATGTTAGATTTAATCAAACACATTTAAAATATAAAGTTAAAATACCGATTTTTCATTGCGTATTACATCCAAATAGTCATCAACTATGTCTGCAATAAAACTAATATCAAGATTATCTTTAATTTCATTAAAATGATCTCTAGTGTAGTTAAATAACTTCCTAGCTGTTTCTGAGTTATCTTTATGAGTAACATTTGTCTAAAAAAAAATGTAAAAATAAAATTAGATATTTTAAATATAATTAATATTTATATTATATCATCATACCTTGGATAATGTGTAAAAAATACGAGTGGTCGGACTTGTGTAAGGACAGTCTAGAGTATCAGGCGTTTCCCATACACCATTCAAATTACAATGCCTACTGACTGTGCCTTTAGCTAAAGGTTCAACTTCTTCATTTGCTTGACATTGTTTAACAGGTGTTACATCTGAGATGGTACGAGTCCAAGCATATATTCCTTTATTATCTTTACTTTCTAAAATGATTAAAAAAATTCTCCTATTAAAATATACCAATACAAAATAATTTAAGACAGTTATAGATGTATTATTGTTAAATCACCGTCAACTCCACAGAATTTAGTCTTATTTGAAATAACAGTCAGTGAAATTGATTGAATTCGAGTTCCACTAGAAGAGTTCAATTTACATTCATATTTTCCACTATGATTCGAATTAAGTTTTGCTATTGACAAATTACTGTGAAAGAATGCCAATTATCAAATTAAAATATTCAGTTAATTAATTTTTTTCATAACAAGCTAATATAATTAAAATTATAAATTTAATTTGTAAAAATCTAATAGTAAGACATATTAAAATTTTCAAAACGTAAAAATTGATAGTATTTAACACTTACCTTTGGATTAAGCCAGTGTTTTCAAAATCTCCGTCAGTAACAATTATTGAAGCATTAGTATTCAATGCATTTATGTTCCAAGTCAAAATAATACCTTCTAGAGCATCTGTGCCAACAGCACGACATAATAATTCTATTGAATCTCCTTCAAAGAGAACCTTTACAAAAAAAGGACAATTCCAAATAGTAAACAAATACATGAAATTAGATAAATTATTTTCTAAACTAGTAGAATAGATGGTAAATAAATTTAAAATTACGAGATTTGTATAAGGTAAAATTTCGATGGCTGGAGGTGTATTTGATTTTGGGCGTACACAGTTCAACATATCAAGATGTAGATTTTTAATAGGTGTGTCTTTCAATGAAGTTGGTTCATGACATTCAGATTTCGGTCCTAATTTAACTTTTCTTTTATCTACCCACTCAAGAAATCCAGAAATTTCACAATCACAAACTAATGGGTTGTCTGATATATCTCTATAAGCAAACAAAATGAAAGTATGAAGATCAATTTTAAATAATAATCAATATAAGTAATAAATAATAAATAGTTTATACTTACAGTCTAGTGAGATGATTCAAAAATGTAAACGTATTGCCTGGTATTTGAGCAATAATGTTTTTGTTTATTTTCCTGTAAAATAAATGTAATTATCAGTAAAGAGATTTTAATTTTGTATTTTCAAGCCATTTTACAGCAATTTAAAATTAGGTGAATGCTAAATATTATAGTTAATTCATCTTACAATTGTTCCAATGAAAAGAGTCCTTCAAACATGCCTTGAGATATATTTCTGAGTTTGTTGTCAGTCAGTGTTCTACAATTTAATATAATTATATTATTAGTAACATCATTACAAAGCATCAATTTAAACAACCCACAATATTTTAAGATTTGGTGTGCCACGAAACGCACCATCGTGAATAATAGAGATTAGGTTTTTGGTCAGATCTCTGCAAATACATATAGATACATTATATTACATAAAATATACAATTATTATATTCAAAAATAGTCTTACAGCCTTTGTAAAGTCAGAATAGGTATGGCATTTGTGGGCAGAGCAGCAATAACGTTGCTGGACAGATCTCTAAGAGCAAACGTATACAATAATATAATATATTGGAAAGTCAAAGAACACGGATTAAGTAGACACAGTGGTGTACATGACTTACAAGAATGTTACTCCGGTAAAATTAGACAGCTGAACCAGGGGTATCTCGCTGAGATACATGACGGGCTTGTCAAGCCCACCACATTTCACTTTGTTGAACTTGTCGCTAATCCTTTTTTTGGGACAGACGCATCGTTCTGGACACGCTGCAACATCCGTAGACGTTACTGCCACCGCAGCTGCCGTTTTTTGTGATGCTACAGCGCCGACCAACAGCAACCATAGGGCCCAAAGCAATGAACCCGGGTACATGACAAAAATTAACGATCGACAAACCTCTTATAGTACAACCAACCTCGGTTCGCCGTCTACACCGAAGCACCTCGAAAGACCACCTCTTCTTCGTCCTCGTCGGACGCTTTCATCGCGTCAAAAGTATCAGAGTACGAACAACCAACATGCCAGGCAAAAAAGGCTCACAAAAGGCCACCACACACACTATTCTATTTTTGTTGCGGCATTAACGGCAATTTTGTAGATCCTATCTGCGGGAGACGTCAAACATTTTCGGTTTGTTTACAATTTTTTTTTGTTTTCGTCCGTCGTCGTTTATCGTTGAGCAATATTATTATTATTATTATATATAACAATATCATACATAATATTATTTATTATTTTCTTGACTCTCCAAAATATGATAAAAATATAACCTCAAAAGCTGCCAACCATAGGCGGCCGTGGTCCGTCTGCCGTCGCTACTCACGTCTTCATCGAAGCGTCGAGGGTTGTCACTTGTCGCGTCTTGTTGACCATCGCGGCGGCGCCTCGCAACCCGCGACAACGATATATTGTCATTATTGTCATCGTTAACCACAGATATATATCTGTGTCGTTAACCACGATTCAAGGTCATACCACAGAATAGTTCAATGATCGTACTATCACGTGCGCAGTATTGTTCTATGGAAGTAGTGGTTTTTATTTTTTAATCTTTTGTTATTATCGCTCAGATAACGTTATTATTATTATTTATTTGTGTTAACAAAAGGAGATAATGTTATAATAATTATTATAATTTACAATTTACTATTTACCATATTATTAGTGAATCTTATTTCATTTTGTGCGCAAAATTACTAGCCGTCGAAAGTCCGAAATTTTTCTTTTATACTGTTGGTTTTTTAATAATTATTTCGCACACCGTTCTCTACACTCGGGCACGCCTCTATTGTGCACACTACTGTTGTCAATTCGAGTGATGTTTTGAAGTCCCTCGAGCCACTACAATCCAAGATGTCTAAAACCAACGTCAACGTTAGTTTTGCTTGCCAGCGTTGTTTCACGCCGATCCAATTGGACAGCTCGTTCAACAGCATCAGCGAGCACACCATCGCTGAATTGTCACGTAAGTGTTAGATTGATTGACATTTGATCTTGTCATGGTGTATCTAATGGTTGTCGTTGTTATTGCAGTGCCGATTGTCTCATGTCCGGAAGTTGATCTTGAGTCTCAGGCAAAGCACATTGATCACATGATACCCGGTTTTCACTTGAACGATTCATCCAGTGGAAATAATGGTTTTACATTGTTGGGCGAAGGAGAAACGCCGACTCTTAGCCATCAAATGAAGGTTAGTTACATGTCAACCTTGTAATTTATAAAAGAATAAGGCAAAGCAATTTATAATTTCACATTTGTTTTTTTGGTATCTTATGTATAATATTATAATCATTGTATCGTTAATTTGGGTAGGTGGCGGCCAACCTTTTCGATATTGTATCTGGAAATTCAAAGGTAAATCATCCACTATGTGATGAGTGCACCGATGTATTGATGGACATGATGGAAGAAGAGCTACAACAAGCCGAAGCGGACCACATAGATTACAGCAATTACTTGAAAGAGTTTGTACCATTTTTGTTGTATTTTAGACCATTGATACTAAATGTTAATATTATATTCATTGCTTAGACTTTCCACCGAAGAACCAGAAGACATGGATGCACTGAACAAAGAGTTGGAAGACGTTAGTAGTAAAAACATACTTTTTTATTATTTGATATATAATAGTGAATAGAGTATCAATTAAACATGTAGGTGATAAAGTTCATAAAATGTCCACGAAAAATATACGATAGGTACAGTCAGTGCAAGATAGATTGGTAAAGATGGCACACCTCACCAAGTTCTTTTTCATAAATTTATAAAAATTTCAAATTTTTGTTTTTAATTAATTAATTTTTTATTTGGCAGAATATTTGTTTTTTAAATTTATAATGTAAAATCAGTTTAAAAATGTTTTTTAAAACAATTGATTATTCTATGTTGATTTATTCAGTAATTATATCCAAATAAGGAGAATTCCTGGTTTCTTGTTATCACTTTTCCATACCAATCTAACTAACAATGACTGTACTAAACTTGTTGATAAAATTAAAGACACATATTTTTACTAACTGTGCCAATAAATAATAAATTATCACAAGCAAAGAGTATGGTGCGAGAAATGACTCTACTGCTTTTTGAAATGCATGTTTTTTAAATTTTAAATTTAGAAAAATTCTGTCTACATTTCGGTGCAATAATTGGATATCTTTGTCTGTTAGAGTAGCTACTATCATACAAATGACGATCCCTGGTATTCAGAGTTTGATGCAATAACCGGGTACTATTTTATGCCAAAAATTTTATATCAAATTTTATCAAATCTTTTTTATTTCAAAATTGAAATTATGGAGATAGTCGACTCTTTCACCTGACCTTTCAATCATTATATACTCTACTCAGAATGAGATCGTACCTCACCGGCTGACTTTTGCTCATGGACGTGGCATCGTTCCGCAGTGCTAGTCTTACAAGCTTTCTAGGTGGGGGAAGTGACTATTGCGGACAAAAATTAATTGTTGCCGAGGTACAATCTCACTCCGAATAGAGTACAGTTAATACCCAACTGTAAAATTAATCCAAAAATACAAATATGATTACAGTTGATGAAAGAAGAGAAAAAGTTGATGAGTGAACTAGCAACCTTGCAAGAGACTGAAAACGCATTAGATTGTGATATAAAAGAAGCGGAGAAAGAAAAAGAAAGATTAATTAAAGAAGAGGAGCGGTATTGGAAAGAATACAGTAAACATCGAAGGGATTGTATTCTCATAGAAGATAAACAAAAAAGGTTGGGTTTTGTTATAACATGAGTTTTGATTTTTAAATACTTGTATGAAATTTATGAATAATTTAACCTTTTTTTTTATAATTTGAAATTTAAAAGTAGATTATTTTCTTTTTACACATTTTGTTGAATATACAATATTTGTTGTAGTGTTGAATGTCAAATAATGTATACCACTTCACAATTGGCGAAGTTAAGAAAAACAAATGTGTTTAACGCAACCTTTCACATATGGCATCATGGTCATTTTGGAACCATCAACAAATTGCGATTGGGTAGATTGCCATCAGCTCCAGTGGATTGGGCAGAAATAAATGCAGCGTGGGGTCAAGTCACATTGCTGTTAGTGTCACTAGCTAGATATATGAATTTGAAATTTGAAAAATACCGTCTTGTACCTTATGGAAATCATTCTTATGTTGAAGTAAGTTATTTTAAATATTCTGTTAAGATTATTTACAAAAAAAAGTAAATTTCCCTTATAATTAATTGATATTGAATATTGCAATAACTTTCAATCACTAAATCCAGTTATTAAATCAATGTTTATTTTTTTGACAATATTCCCGAATGTTTTCAAATCAAAATTTATTTAGATACTAATTTAGTTTTTGCTAGAAATTTAAAACTTATGATAAGAGTATGGTAGGTTATAGTTTTTTTTTTTAATTTACAAAATTAATGTCATATAAAGTACTAATACTGGTCCAATGTGTTCATTTATAATTTACCGAGGTGAGTCGAGATTTCTAAGTAAAAAAGTTACTTTAGTAAATTTAGATTCGTTTATTTTGATTATCCCTAGGTTTGCCCACAAGCTAATCATATTTAAATAGTTATAAATCATATCATCAAATTTAAAGTGGTTTTTGTGAGAAGTAGTTATTAGTGTGTCGTCAGCATTAGCATCGAGAGATGGCATAAGTGAAAAACTAGTTGGAGATGGAGGCAATGTATGTCGCTTCCTAACAAGTTTAGTATGTGATTAGGTTATTGGCAAAAAAACAATTTGTCAGATAGGATACAATTAAGATAAAGTAAGCCAAGACAACTCAAATGGAATTGGTGACAATCTTCCTACCCAAACTATATTATAAGACAATATATGAAGGATACTTTTACAATACAAATTATACAAATCACAATTTGGTGACTATTTGATGCCAGAGATTAAAGACAGAGATGAGCAGTATGTTAGATAAATATATTTCTTCATCTTTTGTTAATATGTGTATACATTTTCATTATTAATAATACATTATAATATTATTAAATAATTTTAATATTATAGGTCTTGGGCGAAAAGAAGACGTTGCCACTGTATGGCCAAGGTGGCATACGCTTTGTCTGGAACACAAAATTTGATTTGGCTATGGTTGCATTTTTAGACTGCCTGCAGCAATTCAAAGAAGAAGTTGAAAAGGGTAATTCTGGATTTCATTTACCGTATAGAATGGAAAAAGGAAAAATAGAAGATTCAGCGACTGGCAATACATACAACATCCGGTAATTATATATACTCACTTTTATTAAAAATATTATTGAGCAGTAATGCTTATAATGAACTTTTTTGTTACAGAATACAATTGAATTCCGAAGAAGGTTGGACTAAAGCTCTTAAGTTTATGCTTACCAATTTAAAATGGGGCTTAGGTTGGGTATCTGCTAAGATTAATCACGAAACATAAACTTAAAAGAAATTGATTATGAATTTGAAAAATAATATAATTTGTATTTTATATTTTTTTTATAAATGTATAACTTATTAAATAGTAAATCAACAATGTACTTGGTTAAAAATTTAATTATTCAAAACAATTTTGTTGGTCAAGAACCACATTAAGCCAAAAAGAAAACTAGACGACCCATTTAAAACTTCTGATTGAGTGATTATATCTCTGATTTCTGGTATAGTGTATTCAACGACTTCAATATCTTCTCCTTCGTGTGCAAGACCTCCTCCTTCAGAAATTTTCATTTGATCAGTAACTTCGGTGTAAAAAAATGTCATAATAGAACCAGCTGTACTTAATGCAGCTCTAGAAATAAAAAAATCACAACAGTTCAATAATTTACTTTTCAATTTGTATTGTTTTTAATACATTACTAACATTATTAAGTTATAGTACCTATATAATATCAATTGTATATTTTTTTAAATATTAATTTCATTATATAGAAAACAAATTTTCATAATGTAGTGTTCTAAAAATCAATGTAATGTGTCTAATGATTGTTAATATTTGTTTTATTTTCATAAGTACCTAAAATTATTAAGTTCAAAAGTATTTTTTTATAAATGTACAGCTGCTTATTGTAAAATGTATATTATATATATTTTTTAATTTTATATAAAATTGCATAACAATATAATTGGTTTGTTCAAAACATGGGTAAGTAGTTGAAATTACTATTGAGTTCATTGGAGCTGTAGTAAAAAGATTATTTAATGCTTCATTTAAGATTATTTGGGGCATATAATATGGTGAATATCTTTTATACAGAAACAACTCTTGCCCCTCAATTTATGACAATAAAGATGTATTCATGTTAAAATATTTATTTACCCTACATTACTTCTATAATACACTGTCTTTGTAAACAGAAAAACTATAATATGAGATGTTTTATAAAAATAGGGACCTAATTATGCACTATTAATATACCTTAATAATAAGTATTAACATACTAGATCATAGTTTTTAAAGTAAAAAAACATTATAATTACATTACCTACAACTGATGATTTTTTCCATATCTGATACTTTGACTTCATAACCACATTCTTCTCGAACCTCGTCAACAGCTATTTCTTCAAGTGTCTTGTTCTTGTCTACAATACCAGCACAAAATTCTACAGTCAAACCAATACTAGGTGGATATTTTACGGTATCAATAAGTCCATCTTTTGGTCTATCACATTCTGGTATACTTTTATAGTAGACACCTACAAATAATTATATAAATTCAAAAATACAATACTATATACCAATCAATTTTCAATTGCTACCAGGTCTAAATTGTTTAACGCACACCAATGTATTTCTGGTTCTGTTGTAAATGATCACAAACACTCTACACATAAACAAAAAACCAGCCAGGTAAACAAATATATCATTATAATAATAATTTAAAGACGTTAATTACCTAATATTATTAAAGTGATTTTAATTTAGGAATTAAAATAAAAAAACTATTATCGCGATCAGGCTATTGAGAAAAATGGTACCTAGGTACATATTATTATCTATAAATGTATCTTTTTCATTCATCTTATAAATAGATAATAGGCATATTAAATATAGTTGATCAATACTGAAAACAAATTGTAAAAATTATAAATTGTATTATTAATACAACTTATTAAGTTATCCTTATAAGTAGGTCAAGTAGGGCCAGGATTTCAATGCAAAGTACATTATTATTTGAGTGCTCTAAAACAATGCATTTCTAGTAAACATAGTTAATTTTATGTAACAGACACTTAACATACTAAATGTAAATCTTTTGTTTCGCCTCATTTTACATTTTTAGAGAACTGTTTAGCATTACCAGATCATTTTATTAATTTTTAGTGTATATATTAATATATTATAGGAGCCTTTGAGGTAAATTAGCTGGGAATTCGGATTTCACAGTCATTTTCAGCATGCTTAGTAACACATAAAAACTGCGAAAAAAGGGTGTATGTTAAAACAAAAATATATTGTATTTCTTAGTTTCATGATAATTGTAATACTTAATAAGTCTTTCAACTCTAGGTAGTAGTATAGATCACAAAATAAATACTTATAAAATAAAGAGCAAAATGATTGGGTATGCAGTATGATGTAAGATATTTGAGATTATTATTTACTATTATAAATAATTACAATAATTATAACATATATTCAAATAGATATTTTTTAATTTACTTATTTATTTTTCTAACTTGTTTAAACTATTACAGTGAAAAATATTTTTATCTTCTTAAGTTGGAAATAAAAATTAGGAATGCAGTATGTTCCAACATGCTTGTTTAAATCTGACTGTAATTTGTTTTATACACTTTTGTCAAATTTGATTTATAAGACAAAATGTATTTACATTATTATATTTGACCCATTTACTATGAATATTTCAAAAAGCTATGACCATTGACTATAGAAACCTACCATATATTTATACAATTAAGTATAATTAATAACAATTAGATAATAACTAATAATGAATTAACTTAAATTTGAAACACAACCAACTTAGTAACACTTAATATACAATGTGGTGTCTAAAATATCTAATATTATACTAAATTGTTGAAACATTGTTTAGAACACGATTGCACTTATACTTTCATTAATGCATGTATTCAAATTGTGTACACCACTATTAATCATTTTTTTTTTTTGTCATGTCAATACGACCCTAGAATAATGCATTATTAGTTTTAATAAAAACAATTATATTTACCCATTATGACTATCGATTAGGTCCCATTTTATTTCATTTCCTCCCTAAACAGAAGAAAAACAAACAACTATACTGATATTTTGTGCAACATGAGATTTCAAATTAAAATTAAGATTTCGATATGTACTTGTTTAAATATCAACGAAAACGGTCTAATGAATGCCGATTCCGTGGTTTTAACAACCCTGACATCAGTAATGGGCTTCATGGTTGTTTCAAACACGTTTCCGAGTTATCTGTGCACAAGAAAAACAAAATTACAACATTGTTAAAAACTATGGAAAGCCGAAACGACGTAATAATGTGATGTGTACTAAAAAAAAATTGAATATTATCCAAGTACCGGCGTAACAATAGTTATTCAGAGCGTCGGACGAACGTCGAAATTTTTGCGGAAAACAACTTTAAATGCACAACTCTGCCTAGTTAATCGGAAAATGATACGTAACTGACGAACAACTGAGTAATACTATTTGATCGATCCCGAGCTGTCGCACAATCGGATATCAATAATAATTGTCGTCGCAGACTGTAATGCCGTATTAAATAATAAATATTATTATAATTATAGCCAATAGGTACAGAGTATTGTGTGTCCATGTCAACCGTTATCACAGTGAACACCGGTGATGATAAATATAATAAAATAAGATTCAAGACTCGAGCTTAAAGTATTATTTTTTACTATTAAATATTTAGTATGACGTATTTACTAATAAGTAATAATATGGTAATAACTAATAATATACTAATATCACTGTTCAATGACACTACGTGACGGTCGCTGTGGGTTTAAAGTTTTAAACCATATTAAATGACAACGACTACGAACAACTACTACTCTCACTGCATACTACCTACAGGGTAATTCACTAGTGACTAGGCATTCTCACTCACCTTTTTTCTTCTTCGATAATGCAGTTGTTCAACATTTGATTTTTGACATTTTTATATATATTCAAAGACCACCATTTCAAATTCTTGAGATTTTTTGTGCTTGGTTTTTAAGGAGTGTGCTGTGGAAATACAAACTTCTATTTTTCAAACGAGAACACCCCTATTCAACTATAAATTATGCAGATCACTTTTCTGAAATATTTGACCTTAAGTCAAAATAAAAATTCATACGAGTAGTTTTTTAACTTTGAGTTCTAGGGATAAAATGAGTTTATAAGCTATGGGGGCTATGGCGATTTGAAAATTGCTGTCATTTATATTGATCTATGGATATAAATAATTAGTAAAAATAGCCCGAGTACAATAATTACTGTAGATCCAATTTTACGTCTATATTCTATTTATGTAAAACCAGTTTTAAGGACTAATATCCTTAGTACAAACATTTTAATTACTAAGAAACAACTCATTCGAATTTTGAATGTGGTACATTACAGTTTTCAAAACAATTATCCACCAATTAATTAACAGTAAAAGTGGGGGGGGGGGTTCTCAATTGAAAACAGAAGTTTGTACCACCATAGGACACTCTTTAAGTAATACAAAACAATTCAAGAATTTGAAAATATTTAAATATGGTACATGAGTATATTTAAAAATTCCAAAAATCAGAATTGAATAAATTCATCATTTAATTAAAAAAATGGGAGAGAGCGAGCTTGGTGAATCATTCTGTATATCTATGATTTAGTATGACTTCGATTTTTAGACTTTTGAATTAGGTACCTATATTTACTTAATTTCATAATCCTAAGTGGTTGCTTATCGTAACGATATTATTTCATATTCGTAACACAGACCATGTCACTGAATGACAACGACTGAACTAAATATTTAGTGGACTAAGAAATAAGAATATAATATTATTGTAATTGTAAATTATAATATACCAAATACATAAAATGTGAACTATAATATTATCATAGACAAGAATACTATAATTGTGACGGTGACTTGTTATGGTGGCGTACATGGCATTTCGGAGTAGTTGTAGTCGTAGCAGTGTACATTCGGAGTACTATATCTAAATCGTGGCAGATGAGCAGCTGGACGGTAGCAACGTTATTAATTATTTATCATATTTTATTTTTCTGAGGGGCACATTGATTAGGACATTACGTCATCGCGGTCCGTCAGACACTTGGACCTCGGCTGACCGTCACTATTGAACTACTCTTCTCTCTTCAGTAGTTCAGTCATTCACCCGCTACCAGCCTGCGCTCTGCGGTGTATTCGTCATTCAGGCTTCTCAGTTCTCACACTCTTTTTCACCAGTATTCTGTCCCTCATCTGATTTTTGATTTCCTGTTACCACCTAATAAAAAACAATTTAACAACAGCCCACCCACCGAATCATATGATCGTTTTGAGTGGCCAAAATCTGTGGAAATTGTGCGGCAGAGTACGTCGCTTATCAACCGCTCGTCCGATTCGTATGGCAGATTCGAGTGTTGCACGTAAGTCGTCCATCTGGTTGCTTGCTTTTGTTCGTCTCCCAGACTAATCGTTGACAGTTATAATTAGGAAGTTCATGTTTTAAGTTGCTGTTAATATATTTTTGTCGCTGCATGTTAATTTTTGGTAATTTTCCTCTAACGCACTTGCCCAACCGTTTTACACAACTCTGTGCATATAACTTGTTGTATATAGTAGTGTGTCTGCAATGGTCACCATGTTTGCCAAATCAATATCGTCGTTTTTCTTTGCTAGGACACTAAACACGACTGTACCCAAGATGATGTCGTCCACATGCATTGAGGCGTTGTCCGCTGAAGGCCGCCAGGACTTTTACAACTCATTTGACACCGTACTCACTGACTGCGATGGTGTACTGTGGCTGCTAAACAACACCATACAGGGTGCCACAGAAGTCATGAATGGCTTCAAGGCGAACAGCAAGAAAGTGTTTTTCGTCACCAACAACAGCACCAAATCGCACACGCAGTTCTTGGAAAAGTTTCATACACTAGGATTCAAAGCTCTAGCCAACGAAGTGGTCAGTACTAGTTTCTTGGCTGCAAAATACTTAAAAGCCAATCTCGATCCGTCTAAGCAAGTGTATGTGGTCGGATCTCCAGCTATCGCATGTGAACTAGATGCTCTAAATATAAAACACTTTGGTGTTGGCGAGGATTATTTAAAAACTTCTGTTCCCACGTTCGTTGAAAACATAAAGCTCGAACCTGACGTTGGTGCTGTGTTGGTTGGATTTGACGAACATCTTAGTTATCCAAAACTATTTAGGGCTGCTTCCTACTTGAAGGATCAAAATGTCCTGTTTGTGGCAACCAACACTGACGAGAGTTTCCCAGTGCCTGGTACAGATTTAGTTATGCCTGGCACTGGTAGTCTGGTATGTGCTGTCAAAACTTGCGCCGGACGAGAGCCGTTTGTTGTTGGCAAACCGTCAAGCTATATATGCAATGTCCTAACGGAAACAAATAAAATTGACCCTTCAAGGACATTAATGATTGGTGACCGTTGCAACACTGATATACTGTTGGGTAAACGTTGTGGGTTTAAGACACTGTTGGTATTAACTGGTGTTAATAGCCTGAAAGATGTGGAAGAGTGGAGCAAGTCTGATGATCCTAAATTACTGGAATTAGTACCTGATTATTACGCTCAGAGTATCGATAGTTTAAGAGCTACATTTCCAGTGCCATTGTAATGATTAAATGACAATTATTACAATTTATTTTAAATAAATTAAAATATTAAACTAATGCATTGTAGAACAATTTTATTTTATTACATTATGTTATCACCATTTTTAGACAATTTTTAGTGGTGGATCTTAAAATGTTTTTCACATTCTGTTCAATTTAGCCATATTGTAGTTGAAAGTTATTGTTCAGCATTGATTTATTACTTCAATCATACCAACAATTATGGAATGCACTTGTGCCAATCATTATACAACGTATGATGTTTTTGGAAATGTTAATTCTTTCCTGATAAAATTTGTATTGTATTTCAAATAGTACAACTCTTGTGTTATCTGAGAATAATATGTTACCTATTGCGTTTACTTTTTTTTATGTCAATTAAATTTCTGATTTTTTGTGAATGAACAAATGTTGTAATAAATATCTTATTGTCTATCTACCAATATTTGTTTAGTTGTCATTAATATTATTTCATACTTTTTTAATATCCGTTGAATCAGTTGCCAATATTTTTAAAGTATATAACAATTAACAATTATTATGAGTTTACTTGTCTACTGGTTATTTTCTGAATAGATTTTAAGTAATATTTAAATTACTTAAACATTGCTATGTCAGATATATCATAATTCATAATTAGGTATTAAGTTATATAATATGTTATGATTATATTAATTGTTGTCTTTTAATACGATACTTGTCACCAGTGGTGGATTTATCTTAAATTTTAAATGAGGAATTTTCATAATAAAGTACTTACCACTACCACCACACCCCCATTTTTACTTACAACAAAGTTATGATGTAAATAAAATGTGGCCGAACATCCCAAGAGGTCAGGCCTAGCATGTAATTCTGTGCCACAGTTATAGGGTGGCACCACCCCCTTTGAAAAGTTGACGTGGCTGCTTCAAGGTTGAGCCTTTTAACCTGCCACTATTTGTCAAATTTGAATATTATTCATGCAGAATTAGTTTTTTTCCAATATTTATGTATGAAATTTAAAAATTATAATACTATTGTTTAACAATTTTTTGATAAATTAAGGAAAAATATTTTTCAATTTCAAAACATATTAAACCCTCTTAGTAATTGCATATTATTAATTTGAGTAATAATATGACATTGTTAACATAATATTTCTTATTAATTGATAAGAATTATTGATCAATCTGTTAAAGAGACATGATATCATTTTTCTATAGTTCCTTAAAATATTTGGTATAAATTATTATTGTTGGGGTGATGCAATACCTACTTGCAAGTTATATGTGGATTTGAGATGATTTGTCTGAGTAAGATAACCTTTCCTGAAAAGTTCGTCGTTCTAGAATTATTAATTGCAATTTTAGGACTATATAGATATTAGATAATATTATTTTAACACCATTATTAAATGTAATTACAATAATATTTTCAAACTTAATAACTAACTGTCTAACTATATACTATAATATAGAATATTTGAATGATATAGAAATACATAAAATTGTATAATTTATTTATAATAGTAAATCTATATTAAAAAACCATGGTCTTGTTTATTTATTTGTATAGGTAGTCATACTTGGCCATTATTACTGAAACTGTCATTAGTTAATGTAAACTAATTTTTTTCATTATATAGATAAGTACATTATACATGGTTTACAATTATTATCTAATTCTAAGTTTCTAATGAAGATGATCAGCTGTTTAGTATTGTTTTGGTTGTGACCTTTTGACAGAATACTGGAAAGTTCTGTTTTAATGGTCTTGTTTATACAAGAGAGTACTTGAACTTTTACTCCAATTATTCAAATTCTAATAGTTCAATGGTGTAATTAATCTGTATTGTTGTTTGCATAATATATATGCCTAACAAATATAAATTTATTTTTCTGTATTCAAGTAGAAGTGAACAGCGTATAAGGTATAACTTATAAGTATAAGCAATAGGCACCTATTTGTTTAAATTTATTTTGGTTTGCTTATTATTGACTTAAATTTGAATATCAGTAGGTATTAAAAATGTACACATTATTCATTATAAAATGGCTGTGTGAGTTGTGGTAGAATATTTCTGGTTCCAGAATAAATCCTTCCCCCGGGAAGTCAAGTTAAAAGTTCCACTTGGCACTGCTGTCTACAATATTGTCACTTGTGATTAAATGCGATTCATAATAACATTCAATATCAGGGATATCTCTCTGCTGTGTTTGAATTTTTAACCTTTGAAAATTAGTACCTACATAAAATATACTACCAAAATATTTAACTATCGGTACCAATATGTAATAATTATAACATTAGATAGGTAAATTCTTATAAAACAAGTCTAGTTTTTAAAAATTCATTAAATTTTACAAAATTTGATTTTTTATCAAGTTGATCAGGTGTGTTATTTGGTTTGGCAAGTTCAAAATATCATAGATATTATTAATAATGAAAAATAAATAAATTTATAATCAATATAACAAAATATCCTTAGAAATATTTGCTAAAAAACCAACAGACTACTTCCACTCGTTTTTCGTTCGCAATGATTTGTAATTAAATTAAAATTCAACACATCCATTACAGTTAGGTAACTGACTGTATTCAATGGAGTACACTTGGCATCTGCTTAGGTAGAGCTATCCCCAATTTTTTCTTTTTTTTTGTATGTTGTAATTAATATTTTAAAACATGATTTTTTAATGCAGGTAAGTATTTTTAAATGTTAAAAATTTGCATCCCTCCCCTTAAATTACTGTGTTATATTAACTATCATTATAAGATTAAAGAGTTACTCATTAATCATAATCAAAGAACGTATAGTTATTCTAGTTATTGAAACATGAAAAAACTAGACTAAACTGAGCCCTTGCTCAATAAATCCATACAAAAAGTAGGTACCTAATTGTCAGTTGGCGGATAGTTCTATAAAACGTTAATTGTGTATCATTATTTTTCTCGTATTTGCAAATCAACTTTAGTACATGTAGCATTGTAGCCATGTAGATATATTAAAAATAAAGTCTTGAAAAATATGATGCTGCTGAGCGCTGGGTGACATCGATCAAAGAATTACTGAGGCACTAATGTCGTCTAGGTGTATGATTTTTCTCTTATTCGGACACATATTGTTAGGGAATTGTCGTATTGACTATTGACCCTCGACATTGTTATTTATTATTATTATTATTATTATTATTATTATTATTATTATTGCAGAGTTGAGGGTCTCGTACAGAGACAAAGGCGATGTCTTGCTCGAAGAAAATTTGGAATCAAAAAATCCACATCAGCTGTTTTCTATATGGTTCAAAAAAGCTTCGGAACGCGACGACGTGAGACAGCCTAACGCCGCTTGTTTGGCTACGGCTACTAAGTAATACAAATTACTAAAATTTACGTATATATATTATAAAATAGAAGCCCTTTTGAATGTGTAGGTACGCGCGTAATATCTCTAAATGTTTCTATACTCAGCAAATTTTACTATTTTAGTACAATTTTCACCAATGGACTGGCTTAGTCTCGGGTACGGTTATTATCTACTCTTTAGAATGTTTAATGAATAAAATGTCTCAGAAAACTTTATTAGATTGCCGAAAAAAAAAAATGTATAAATCTGTAAATAAAAATTAAATGCTGTTCGTTGGTAATGTATTCAATTTTTCATTACAGTTATTCAATTAAACTAACCTTGATTTTTACACTTCAACACGTTTTTATCGGATAATATGGAACACGTAGCCTATATGCATTATTATTTATCATGGACGTTAACATTTAACATACAATTACCTGTATTAATTATACTGAACTACCCATTAGTAATAAAGTACTGTATATAACATAGAGTATGTATTTTTGTAACGTTCCGTAGGTCTGGTATTCCGTCGGCTAGATTTGTTTTACTTAAAGCTTTCGACGAATCGGGTTACACGTTTTTTACAAACTCAGAAAGCCGCAAGGGCCGAGAAATTGTGAGTACCTCATCACCTTGTTTTAATACATATTTTAATGTATATGTTAATAAGCTGCCACGGGAGCTTCAAGATCTTGGAAGCCAATAATATGGTGACAAAATTTTTTTCTTTTAAATGAACACTTTCTGACTCAAAAATTCGAACTATATGAAATAATATGATTATTTAATAATATATTTTGGTCACCGACACGTCAAAGTCATATTAGAAGTAAATTGTACATCGCATTATTATATTGATCGGAAATTTGTGTTACAAAGACGACGTGAATTTCATTATAGTATAGCTGGTTAGGTTGGGTTAGGTTAACCCATCCTAACTTAACCTACTCAGTAAATAGCTGTAAAAGTACATGCATTAAAATATTAAAATTGCTAGGAAGAAAACCCAGTTGCAGCCATGACGATATATTGGGACGCGCTGGACCGATCTGTAAGTTTTGATTTATAATACATTGCTATAGGATCTTGCTGTTCTACAGGTTATCATATCTCGGGACTTATTGCACTAAAAAAATGGAAAATATGTGCTTATATGTACCTCAAAAATGTAATTATATGCACTAAAAACATATACATGGTTGAATAATCATAATTTTTTTTTAAATGAAGTACCTATCACCTAATATTAACAATATACATATTATTTCCCACAATAATATAAGTCTAGAGTCCGGATTTGTATGCACTCAAAAAACTTCAAAATATGCACTTGATATGCTTTTATTTTTTAAAAATAATATGCAAAAATATGCTCTTATACCCAAAATATGTGCATTTTAATATTTTTTTTAAAATTTCTTCCATAAATAATAATTCAATAAAATTAGATAAACTTCATTTTTTAATTATAGACATTGACTTTAAACATTTATTAAAGAACAGTAAATATTTAATAAAGAGCAATCCATGTTTTTATTAAAGTTGGAATAGTGCTTCGACTTTTCGGCATTTTAAAATGTATAAATTGTAATGAAATGACAATTTTAATTTATAAATTTACGGAACGCGAATTACGAAATGATATATGGGCACTACAATTTACTGGCGATAACATACGGAGAATAACATTTATTTCCCAAAAATACGTAATGAACTAATAATTTCAACGATGAAATTGAAACAAAATATTTGGTCTAATAAACTTTTATACAAAATATGCTTGAATATGCAAAAATTTTTAAATATGCAGTCATCTCTAAAATATGCATTTATATGCAAAATAAACTTTTTTCTATTCATTATCTGTTACACAAATCGTCCACATTTCTTACTCCCATCGAAATGCATACACTCATTACAAATATGTAAATGCATACAAATCTGGACTCTAAATATAACTATTTGAAAATGAACTAATATTAAATACCTAACTAATATAATATTTCTTTTCCACATAATGTTCTAAAGTTATAAAATAATTTATTAAAAAGTAAATTAAAAACCATATTTTTGCGTCAGCCAATCTAAACTTTATATTTGAAATAGGT